AGAGCCACAAACATGACTAAGGGACTGACACATCTGCTGTATGAGGAGAGGCTGAAGGAGCTGTGACTGTTCATCCTGGAGGAGAGAAGGCTCAGGGAGAGTCTATCAATGTGTATAAATACCTAATGGGGTCAGGGGCAGGGAGTAAAAAACACAGATCCAGAAATTATTTTCAGTGGTGATCAGAACTGGGACAAGGCATGGACTAAAAGTACTAGAGACTGAACTCAAAAACAAGAAAAAAAATCTTTAATCATCTTTACTCTGAGGGCGGTTAAACACTAGAACAGGTTGCCCAGCAAGACTGAATATATTCAAAACCTAACTGGAAAAGATACGGAGCAACCCGCTCTAATTGACCCTGCTCTGACTCGCAGGGGTGATCTAGTCAAACTCCAGATGTCCCTTTTGAGGTCTCTTCACGGAATCTCAAAATCTCAAAAATTTTAAAAGTTTATCCTGACTTATCACATAATTTCTGATTTCTTTCTCCTTTCTGCCTTCCTTTTACATGGCCCGACCTTGCCAGACTGGCTGCTCCCTCCTACTCCACCTGCTCTGCATTTCAGAATTATCCCTGCTGGGCTGAAATTATTATTTCAGGAGCAAACTTCATCTGCTGACCAGAAACATCATATCACTTCTCAGATAAAAAGAAAAAGAAAAAACAAAAGGACAAGGAAGGGATAGCTCAATTAAAATTTTCCAATAGAGAAGAATTTTCATATGTACCAATGAAAGGAAAATTAAAAAAATTATATTTTTCTCCCATAATGTTATCGATACATATGTTCAGTATCTGAAAAAAAGCTACCTTTCATCCACCATTCTTTTTCCTTGTAATCCATCCTCCAGTGTTCTCATTTCTTGTGATGCCTTTATCACTGCAACATTTTTACGCTACTGTTCTTTGAAAACACCTGCCCCCATGTGTTGCCAGGTCTAGTCGAGAGGTGGTGTCCCTGCCCAAACCAGGGAGGTTGGACTAGATGATCTCTAAGGTCCCTTCCAGCCTAGGCCGTTCTATGATTCTATGATTCTATTACATTAACAATATCTGTCTCACAAAGATGTGTCTCATCTTATTTGTAGACTGTGAGCTCTTTATGACAGACACCGGTATTTTGTTCTCTGACAGCACACAGGTTCCTTAGCTGTTGAGACACTACTAGTGATAGTGATCTTGTCTGTGCCTTGGCCCAGATACATACTTTTTCTTTTCTTTACAGTTTTCTCTGTTTTTAAGAACTGTTCATTGCATTTAAGTACATAGGTTTTAAGACATAATGTATAACATTCAAAACCAACATTAAAGACTTGCCATAATAATGGCTTTCAGTGACATGTTTTCCATCCTTGGAAAACATCTATACTTCTTCTCCGTTAATAACAAATTATATAACTCGTGATGAATTTTCTGCTGAATAAGCAAATAAATAAAAGTAGTTCAAATCTTCAAGACCTAATTTGTGATAATGTGGTCACTGGGAGTCCTTTTTAACTTCAAATAGCTTTGAGAAAGATAAATATTTAGACATATAGTCTTGGATATTCATTCTTGATTAAAAAATATCCAGGTGTGGGATAATGACTTTATTGGACAGGATATAATTAGGATGATAGAACATTGTGTATCTAAATACAGTCTGAAAGGTGTTCCAACAAAGTGAAGGTGTGCAGCATCTTTTTGAAAAAAAATAGACCACAGCAGGAAGAAGGGTCAATCTGTAAAGCTATTAAGGACATTTAACAACTTTATGACAGTGAGTATGTAAGCATGAATGTTAATGTGTGGTGAAAATATGAATTTGTATTGTCACCCCTTGAATCAGAGAATCAAGGGAATCAAGGTTCTGAAATTTGGCTTTTATACTACCATAGAGTGGGCTTGTCTTTGGAACAGTTACACTTTCTGCTTTTCTGTCCTAAGTGACTAGAGGTATCACATAATAAATAACAGACACAGAAGGATGACAAATAATAGAACTGGTAACATGTTGAGAAGGGCATTGTCTGTTATGTGACTACCAACATAAACCTTTGTGATATTTCATCCCCCCAAAGATTTCTCAAGTTCAAGCCTTCTAATAATTCCAAAAGCCCATTTAAAAGGGTTTAAAAAAAAAAAAAAGCAACTTTCACAGAGTGAACAAAATGACTCCATATTTTACAGTTTCTCTTTAACATGTAGCTTAATCACCAGGAATCATTCGTTAAAGGTTTTAAGGAGTCTGCTTACATTGTGAGTTGCACAGTCTCCATTATGTACTGCAATAACTCAGGCTGGCACCGTGTCTAACAAAACAGTTCCAGAATAAGCAATGTAACGAACTACTTCTTTAACTCTTGAATCAGTTTGAATAGAGTGTGGTCTTTTTCATAATCATCACTGCACAGCACTGCAGATTTCCTGAGGACAGTTTGTTTGCTGGAGCTGCTAAGGGTACAGAGAACTGCTGAAGTCCTGACCATTGTGCTGTGACAGACATGTAACTCACCATTTAACCACCACTGTAAATGATATATTGGAGGTGATATGAACATGATCCTATCGTTAGCCTATTTGGGATCAAGTATTAATTTTCAGAAAAGAGCTTTAAAATACTCTGGAAAAAGCTTTTGTTCTGAATGATGACAAGTGCAGGGATTCAGTAAAAGAACTTATTTATAGCTATGAAAGATTAATTAATGAATTGTATTCGTTTGTACAACTATTCCCGCAGAACTGCATATTGCTATCAGATTACCCTTACTTTTACAGTGATCTTTTACAAATGTGCAAACTTACACAGTACAGCACATTCTGATGTTATTCTGCTTTTTCAAAATCATTTTGCCCTCTAAAGTTCTATCAAATATAAGGCACAGAAGAATCAGGAAGGAAACAAAATTCCATCTATGAAATTTTTAGCATGTCATGTTTAACAGAAAATGTCATCCTTTTGGCTACTCAAAATTTTCTTTTTTCCCCCCTTTCTTTTTTTTCTCCCAATGTGCACACATGCATGAGTCTACAAAGCATGTTACACCAAGAATGCTATTACACTGCCAGTCACATCAATAGTCACCTGCAATAACTACTTGCATTTGGATAGAATTCGCTGCCTTTCTTTGAACGATAGGTCTTTAACAGGGCTTTTGCTGGCAGTTGAATATGACTCTCACTACTTCGCGAAATTCCAGGTTTTGAGCTGTTTGTGAATTAACATCAATGTGTCAGTACTTCTAACACAGAATACAGATATGTATACACATACATACATATATATGTATACACACATTCTATGAAATTAATCCAGGAAGTTATAAACAATGTGTAAAAGCAAGAAAACTCCTGCACAGGCCATTACTTTTTTTGTGCAACTAGACTTCTGATGTTTTTTACTTATGCCAATATAAAAACTGATTTGTACTACTGACCTTGGACACAAAACAGTTCATATATCTTGTCAGAGATCTAATTCAAAGCCTGATGGAAAGACTCAGACTGGATTTAAGGCACCTTGGAAAATCCTTCAAACTTACATAGCATAAAATAAAAGCTTTTGAATAATACATTTTAAAGCTTAAAGATCTCTTTTTTCCTTCTGCTATTTTTTTCCAATCACTATATAATATTTTGTAAACAATAAATCACTATTTCCATACAACATCTCCCTTTCTGTTCTGAATGTATCAATAGGTAACAGCAGCTAAAGCTTTTAAACATACTTGTATGTTGAGAAAAACATGTATTTCCACAAATATCTTTGAACATGTTTCCAGTTTTCCTGTGCTTAATTTCTTTTGTCATAGAAACAAAAGTACTGATAATATTATAACTTTTTTTTGTTAATAAAAACCAAAAATAATGTAACAATTCTTTTTTAAAGTAATCTCTTCAAAATTAGGATATAAACCTCTATAAAAACATATGCTGCCTATAATAGTAGGCTGTAACAAAGACAGAAAGGTAGATATATCTGTCTATAACAAATATAGTAAAGTTGTACTAGACAGGTCTGGAAGATACTTTTTTGTTATACTAGAATTGGTTAGTGCACATCCTCTTACAATGCTAAACTTACTGCATCAGAAGTGGTTCCCAGTGAGCAGTTTTCAGCATCAGTAGAAGAGTCTCTGTGGTTTCACAGAGTTGGGTTTTTTTTGCCATGGCTGTTTTTGAGTTGTTCGGGGAAAGGGGGCTTGATTATGACAAATATACAAACTGTATCCCTTCATACACAAGAACAGTCTTACCTTTTGAGGTACTAGACTACCCTTCAGTGAACTTACAACCTTCCCTTGAAATTTCCAGTACAATAGCCATACATTTAAAATGAGAGCTTAAGGAAATCCTGTTGACTTTACCAAATACTCACACAGAATTTATTTGCAAAGGAGTACCGTTTACACCCACAATAATTTAAAGGATACCATTTCAGTCTGAAGACTCAATTAAGCAGAATAATTGGCATCAACAGCACTTACCTGATTGTGTGGAATAGAGGTTATACAGCTATTTTCCAGTTCAGAACCATGCAATAGCTATTTAAAAAAAATAATGTAATGTTTGAAATTTAAGAAAATTAGTTTTTTACTAACAATGCTTTTGCAAGAGGCTCCCAGACACAAGCAGCATAATTTGCTACATTGTGGTTAAAAGAAATGTGCTATATGTAATTATTCATAGAGAGATGCGGCATATAGACTAGATTTAGATCACGTGATAGGTAATAGTTTAGGCACTAAAAAAAATAATCAGGCCATGAGTATTGCATTCTGTCCTAAATGAATGACAAGTCTCTTTTCACTAAGAGACATTGGTTACATGACTGTCATACTCTCACCAGCCTACTGAAAGGACCAAACAAAACCGATATCACACAGAAAGATGGATCGAGCATGAATCAATGTGGCAAGCACATAACCAAAGAGACATGGAATTAAACAAAGTAAAAAATAAAACAAAACAAAACAAAACCTAAACAAAACCAAACAAAACCAACAAAGATTGTCGCTTAACCTGTTTTGTCAGAGCTGGTATTGATGGTATTGGTAGTGATGGAAGTGAAGGTAGTCTTTGCGCTGTCCTTGGTAGTAACAGATTTCTGCTTATTTTTCATGGCTTCCAGTGCTTTGAGCTTCTTGGCATGTTTAGTGCCTTTGTAGTGGGCCGCAGCCTGGCTCTACAAAGGAGAACAAAATGAACCATGCAATCAGGCTCATTTCTAAACTGGCATTCTCTGTATTAGTACAAATACAGACTACCTTTCAATAATGGGTACCATTCACATTATCCAAGTAGTGACCAAACAGCAAGTTATATTTAGAATGATGCTTGGAAAACAACGGAAAAAAATACTCAAATCACCTCAATTCAATAAATACTGTGTATTACTGTATAACAGTATATTATTTTCATAGCAAAATGATTTTGTGGGTTTTTTAGTCTACCATGCTACCATTAGTTTTTCTATCAAGGCTTTCTTTTTGCTTTTGCATTAAAAAAAAAATAAATAATTCTCAGGCAACAGAGAGGAAGACACTGTCCTCCCAGTATTTTTGCACTTTTCCAGCTTCTATTTCAAACTAGACCTTTTACTGAAGCTTCCTTCAAAGGACAGTTTACTATTAACAGTAGTATTGAATATTTTCATCATAGACTGACAGCAAGGAACAAACCAAAAAGACACCAATCCAAAAACAAAGCCCAAGCAAAAGAAAGCAAAACATAAACCACTCTATTCAAAGCCCATCACCAAAGATTTAACTGAATGTGAAGCAGACATGCAATTAACTGGCTTTCTTAAAAAAAAAAACCCAAAAAATTACTTTTGTCCACCTGCCATAAAAGATAGTGTTTGAAATTCAAAGCCAGGAGCATCTTTCCAAAGGAGAAAGCTCATACAAATCCTGTCACAGTCCCAAATATATTTTAGCTACTTCATAACATAAAGCTCAAATAGGCTTGTATGTGCATTGCTATTAATATTTATGTATTACACTGAAAGTATCTTTATTATTCTAAGAGTTCACACCAACTTTTCTTTATTTAATATATGTTAAAAACATATTTTGAAAATTGTATTTGAAGGATGGGATTAAACCTTATACAAAAAACACTGGAATTAGTACGAATATTCAGTTTATCTCTTCTCTGGCTATTGAAACTCTTAGAAAAAAAAGATAGTCTTTCAGTTATCAACTTGAAAAATTTCTTTTATTTTTATTGCTGAAATTCAAACTTCATTGAAAGCAACTTCTTTCTTACTTGCAAGATAAATTATTAAGACTCTAGAAATACAGCCAAAATAACTACTACAGAATGGAAAAAAAGAAAAGCAACTATGCTGGGTCAGTTCAAGGACCCACAAAGGTAAGTGTTTTGCTTCTGGCATGAAATGGACATTTAGATCATAAAAGAAAGAGAAATGCTTTCTATTGTGGAATCAGAAGAATGAAAAAAACCACAACCACTTTGTAATTTAGTGGCTACAAACTCAAAAGATCAAAAAGGATAAAATGACCCAGTCACTCAGCTCACTAAGCCACCCGTGTAGCTAAAAGAATCCTTCATTATCTGGCATCTGTTAGTCATTAAGCCTTTATTTAATGCTATTTAAAGTGCTGAATTTTGGGGAGAGAGGAAGTTCGAGTGAGTGTCACAATAAGAGTCTATATTAATTAATCTTGAGGTTTATGACTTCCAGCTTTCATGAAAAGTCATTATTCCTTCTGATGCCCAAGATATGAGAGCCTCAAGGTGAGCAGGAAAGAAGTGAGAGACCTTGTCTGAAAAAATAAACATATATATATATATATGTGTATACATGCATAGATATACACACATGCATAAGCGCTTGTTTTATATTGAGATGCATCATTCAGTTTGGTTGAAAAGCCAGTTTCTCTATACCTAAAATAATGTAAATGTTGTATTAGGTACCCTTATTGAAAGAACACTGGACAGTGAAGTTATTAATTAGAAACAACTTGAACAGAAACAGCACAATCATGCACTTTTTACAATTCCCAACACATAACATTGAGACATACTTTAAGTCAAATACAAACAGTCAAGAGATGTTAATTACTGTTAAACAGAAAGACCAGTGTCAAGTTATGATGATGCATTAAAAATGACATTATACAGCACATCCTTGTGTTACTATCATGTCACCTATTTTTAAAGTTCCTAGTCAAATTTAATTATCAGTCAGCTCCAGATTCTTACTGCGCTTGTTTTCCCTAACTAATAGTGTCATTTTTCAAATATCAGAAAGGTAGTCAGAACATGGTCCTCAATACTGAATTACGAATGTTGGTATTAGGTTGATACACAGCTCAACTTTCTTCACAGAATTGCTGGCAGAGCACCCCAGCTTTATGTCTCCTGCATCCATAATTCTCCTGCCTCCAAATTCTCAGGGCTACAGTTTCATGAACCTCAACTAAAGCAGAGTGTTGGATGTATAAGCAATATACAATGAAGGCATGCGTAGAAATTGGTGACCTTTTCAGTGTTCTGAAGTATACGAATGACATTACTCCAGAGTAGAAACACATTGCTCAAATTTACAAGTACGATGGCTGCAATGCAGAGTTGTTTATTACTCACTTGCCACAGAGTGCTTCCAGTTTACCCAGCTTCTACTTAAACAAGATCTTTATGCCATTTTTATTTCAAAGTTTAAATCTCCATCCTCTTTGGGGACATGAAGACACCTGAGCCTGTTTCAATATAACTGTAGTTACCACGCTAATGGTACTTCTATGTGAGAGCAGACAGATTGCTCCTAAACATTTAACCAGCTCCAAATTAGCTTATGCTGAACTTTTACAGCTGAACTGGAACCCTAAAAAAAAGTCTGTCGTTATTTTTCCTTGTATGAGCAAGATGTAGAAAATGGAAAAACAATCCATAAATAATTTTTTTCAGCACAGTAAAATAAAACGAGAATCCTCACTGATCATTTCTTGCAGCTGTAAGAGAACTAAAATAATCCTCTCTGCTTAAATGGCATTTACTTGTACCTTATAGAACTCATTACATGAATGGTATTTACTTGTAGGCTAAAATATAAAAAATAAGAGAGATCATAAAATGCAGTTATTCCCAACTTTCATGCAGAATTAAGAAATACTGAAAGAGAGTAGAAGAGTGAAAGACAAGTTAGCACTATTTTTTGCTGCCAACCATAAAGCTTAACTGAGTGAAGAGGCTGTACCCCCTCAGAAAGCTGAGAAGGCTTCTCCTTGTGGAGTACTTCGGAGTTCCAAGAGTTATAAATCTCAAGAAGATAATATGTACATGCTTATATATTACCTTACCAAGTTGTTCTAAAAGTTGTGCTCGGACAAGTTATGAGCAAAGGTTACAGGTGAAACTATACATCTACAGAAGCTAATGAGAGTCAAGAGAGGATTTTTCCTTTCTACGTTTTGTACAGGGGTGCCAACTTTTATAATTGTTCATCCTGATGGGAGCCCGTTCCCTTTGAGAAGCAATGGTTTACTCTAAAATCAGATGTTCTCTCAAAGGAAAGAGTTTCAGGACAATCCTTACAGAAAAATTCCCTATTACTACAGAATGCTTTTTAATCATAGTCAATCAGCTATCCTAAGAACTCCCTAATACTAAATTCAGTTTCTTTTTACCATGACAAAAGAATACATTAGAAGAATACCTTAAGAGCTTATTTTCTTCTTTAATCATAGTTTCCAAGTTTGCTTCTCAGATCATAGTCTTGATGTTTGATTGACCCTAACACTGTGAAGACAAGTCACTTCCAGCTAACGTGTGAGCCAGTCATTGATGAAGCACAAGAAATATATCAGATATTGTTGGTGTAACATTACAGTGAACCTTAAGAAACTATACCCATTCTTGAAAAAGATGTCTAACAAGAATGTGAAAGGTAGATTATTACTTCACATTTGAAGTTGAAAACTCAAGGATACTTAACAAAATTTTGAGGGCTCTGATCCTGCAAAGTACATGTAGGCAAACTTTGGTCTATGGAAATTACCTCAAGGAAATGTCAAGATGTCTAAATATCAAACTACTTTTCAAGGTTATTTGTAATGAAATCCTGCCTATCTGAGCAGTACAAGTTAGCTTAAGCATTTCTTTCATAAAACAATTATTCCTCTGGTTCCATGTATCTATCTTGAATAATTAGGAGCCTTTCTAACCCTTATATTTTGTAACCTTTCCAGACAGTTGGAATATTGAAAAATGTATTTGTCTAGATAAACGTTTATTGTATATATATACCTGTTATAAACACAGACATACACATACCATAAAAAAAATAAAAATTCCTATAAGCAGGTATGAGCAGTTAGAAATAACAGCCACAGTGTCAAAACTCGCTATGTTTTCTTAGTTTAAGCACAATATTGTACCACAGTTACCATAAGGACATCCCACTACCAAGCAAATTGCCATGTGTAAAATACGATGAGAAAGATGAAATATTTTAAACAATCCAGACACTTTTCTCTTACAATTACAGTCACCATATCTCCATAGAAGTCATCAAGTCTGACTAATGTACTTCAGTGAATCATACCTCTTCTCACTTATATTCCTTAGGCATTTGTCCAACAAAAACATCGTGCTTAATTTTGTGCATTGAGATAAAAAAGGATTTCCTCCTACTCTGAGAGTGTTCAACTTAGTAGCACTGCATTTTCTATCATTTTCATATCCCTCCTGGTCCACTTCATATTATCAATCTTCTTACAGATTGTTTTCCTATCGCAGTCATTTCTTCTAGACAATACCTTCATTATAAAAGCCAGCTCAGAGAAAATAACTTTTTTAAAAAAAATTTCTAGTGAATTTGTTCCACTGATTGTTTCTCACAGAAATTAAATCCAGCTATCCTGCATTATGTCTTTGTCATTACACAATGCGTTTTGAAAGATGTCCCTTGTGGAGAGTGCTCTGCCACATGCTGTCACTTGGCCAAATAACAGCAAGGCGGCAGTCTGTCTGCATGCTTAGAAAGCCCCAAGCTAGGGCTGAGAGTGCTGAAAAGCCCTTTTTGTCTGAGATTTCAGTAGACTATGTCATGTCTTTGCCTTTACCAGCTACTGGATGCTACCATCACCTCTGCTGTTATTTCCAGTAAAACAGTAGCCATTTTGGCTAACACATCAGCAATTGATGCCAGGATCC